CGTCGGGGAGGTGGAGCTCGGCTGTGAACAGGGTAAGTGGGCAACTATGAAGAGCTGAGTCTTGAGATTCAAGCAATGTGAAGAAGAGTATGTGTGCAGCTCTGAGAAGAATGACGACGATGGATTACGGCGTAGATCTGCAGTGATAAAGAGTGTGTGAGGCCAGAGAAGATTGCGAAATGAGCGATACCCCAGCTGACGACGAAGCAAGCCGTTGACGGTGAAGGCTGCAGCGACGAGTTTCGACGGCGAAGGGAAGACTTCGGCGGTAATTTTCAGAGTTCAGTGAAGCTTCAGACTTTCAAAGCAAAGGGTGGGAAATGGCCGTGAAAATGGGGATTGGGGGGGGGGGGGGGGGGGGGGGGGGGGGGGGGGGGGGGGGGGGGGGGGGGGGGGGGGGGGAATGAGGGAAATGTTGATATTGGGATTTGGGAGTTTACTGTTTATTAATATATATTATATAATTAAAACTTTAATTATTTTATATTTTATATATGTTAAGTTGTTAACCTGGATTTTTTAAAATGGACGATTGGACCGGTGGGTGCTACAGTGCACTGGTCCAACCGCGGGTGTTAACAGACAGAATAAAAATGGCGGTTTTGAGGCTCACCAGCCAGGTCTCGGTTTAACCGGTTCAACCAGTCGGGCTGGGCCGGGTTTTAAAACATTGGTATAAACACCCAAATTATCATGGTTTGTGTGTCAATTTATTGAGAGATGCTAAGAAGGAAGTGCAGCTACTTGTTGACAGTTATAAGAAGACTTAGGAAAATATTGGATGTACCTTAATGGCTAATGGTTGGACTGATAGTTCACATAGGTCATGATAAGTTATAGTGGTTTTAGGCTAGCAGTTGGTCATGTTGGCCCATGGCATGGCACGTCACGACACAAAAAAAAAAAAAAAAAAAAAGCATAACACAACATGACCCACGATTATGCAGGCCGTGTCGTGGGCTTTAAAAAAGGCATGTGGGCTGACACGACATGGCACAAAAAAAAATTTTAAAAATAAAATAAAATAGCCGTTAATAACAACCATTTTAAGTTTAAAATATAGCAATAGGTGACACACTCGTTTTTTAGATCACACAAGAAACTGCAATGCAAGTTCATATATTTCGAGCAAAAGAAAATGTAGTACCCTTTCACTCCAGAATATTTAATCTTGTCAAGGTAAAAAAGATTGCAGTTGAATGACCGTAAAAACTTGTAAGCACATTTTGATTATTAGTATTTGCTTGTTTTGTTTAATGTTGAACAACTTTCATTTCCCAATCAGTCTTTTGCTTGTTTTGTGTAATTAATTCTCCATTTTGTTAATGCTCAGGAAATCCTTTGTGTAATCTATATGTGTTTATAATTACCTGCACATGGGGGTAACAACTATTTTAAGTTTAAAATATTTTTATAATAATTATTAATAATAAATCAAAATTACCATAATTTATGAATATTAAAATTAAATATTTTTACAAAGCAAGCTGGCCGGCCCATGGCACGATAATAGTGGCCCGTGTTGTGGGCCTTCAAATTTGGTGGGTCGACACGACACAACAGGGCATGAATTTTTGCAGGTCTTGGCACGCCACGACCATGGCACAATGGGCCTTAAATTTTAGGTACGACACGGCCCACCGCCGGCTTTAGGTGTGTTGTCCTAAAGGAGTTTGCTTTGTGAAATCAATGGCTACTTCAGATGTTGGAACATTGTTGAAGTTGTTTGAGGAGATAACTTTATGGATTGGACCAAGTAGTATTGTCCATTTTGTCTCAAACAATGGATCCAATTATAAAGTTGCTAGAAGAATATTGTCTAAGAAATATCCGAGTATTATTTGGTCGCCCTGTGTAGCACATTGCATAAATTTGGTGATAAAAGACATAGTTGAGATGGATCACATAGTTTATCTTGCAAAACATGCATCTGATGTGACAAAGTTTGTATATAATCATACATTCTTGATAGCTTGGTTGAGGAAAAGACATGTAATATACCTTTAGCTCACGTTCTTGTCAAGTCATAACATAATATACATTTTTTTTTATATAATTTACTAACATCTATTATCTATCAATTGAACATGATTGAATAGAAATTGTCTGTCCGAGCGCAACCCATTTTACTACAACTTTCATTGCATTGAGAAACCTGTATGACCACAAACATGACTTGCAAGTCATGGTGGCAGATAATTTTTTTTGTGAATTCTCAATATGCAAAAAGTAATAAGGCAAAGATGTTCTTGGCATAATTCTAAATAACAATTTTTGGGATAATATGGGTAAGGTGTCCAAAGTTGTAAGTCCATTGATACGCTTGTTGCGCATTGTTGACTCAGATGAGATGCCTACAATAGGATATGTGTATGATGGCATGTATAAAGCAAAATCCGTGATCAAGAACTTGTTTAAAAATAAAAAGAGATTGTACAAACCTTATACAAGAATAATTAAGCTACGCTGGGATAGGACATTGCGCTATGATATTCATGTTTGCAGCGTATTATTTGAATCCAACCTTTAAATATGACGATACATCTTTTTGTACCAAACCAAAAGTCATGAGTCGTTTCCTTGATACTATTGACAATAAAACAAGTGCGTTCAACTTGAGCAAGACAATGTTAATAGAGGAGAGTAGATTATTTCGAGACTGGGAGGAAAGCTTTTCTCATACTCTTCAAACCTCCAAAACCACAAGTCCTTGTACGTAATAGTTATTAAATTTATGAGTTTTAGTTTTTAAGTCTAATTTATGAGTTATGAAATTGTGTTTATTTATTATGTTTAATTTTCAATTAAATGAATGGTAGAGATCATTTGGGTACAGTGTTCCAAATTTGCAAAAGTTTGCAATAAAAATTTTTTGTCAAGCTCCAAGCTCTTCGAGATATGAACAAAATTTGAGTGTTTTTGCATATATACTAAAAAGAGGAAATAGATTGGAGCATCAACGGTTGACTGATCTTGTTTTTGTTCACTATAACTTGCATTTACAAAATAGGCATAAGACATTGGCAATTATGCATGACTCTTATTCTTATTGTCTATTATTTTCCTTGATATTTTTATTTGTCATGTTTTTAATATTTCATTATAGTATTTTAAGAGGTGTTACAAGAAAATGAGTTTCAATCCTACTAATTAGGAAAATATCGATAAAACTAAATATAAGATAGTTGACGATGAAGAGAAGGCCGATGAACTTAATTATGAGGAATTGTAACAAATGTTATATGGAAAAGGATCTATTCATGTTGGTGTTGGTGATCACCCTTCTTATTATGATTCAACATATGTTTCACAATGTTTTTTTCAAATATGTAAGGGACTTGGCAACTATTTTAAATTAAATTAGTTTAAAATAAGAAGTTTTAACTTATGATTACTAGTTTTTACTTAAATTTATGTAGATGATGACGATGACGACAATGATGAATAGTTTGATGCTAGTGTGTGAAGCTCAATCAACTTGGAGAGTGGACAAAGAAAAAACACATGCACCAAATGATTTGGTTATTAATTATTATGTGGCTATCTTTTTTAATTTTGTAATTTAATTTGTAATCAGATGAATACAACATTGTGTTGGGATTGTTATTGAATGGTGTTGTTGAGCCTTTTTTTTTTTTTTAATTTCAAGTTTTACATTTCTTTTTTATATTGTTAATGTCATCATGATGATGTCATTGATACAACCGGTTGGACCGATCAACTCAAGACCCGAGCAATAAATCAGGTTTCCAAACGGATCAGGTTTTAAAACAATGCACTCATTCACATGTGTTCTTTTGGAGGTTTTATAAGTTTTAATTCATATTTATTTATTTTTTAAAATGAATTTCACATTAAAATCCTTATCCTAGTCTCTATTTACAATAAAAAAAAATATTGTTTTTTTTTTCGAATGATTTCTTTTATTAAACTATTTGTAAAACCTAAGACAAATGTCCAACATTTATATCATGATTTTAACAAACTCTTAGATATAATTTTAGTTTAATCTCATTTTTTATTTATATTTATTTATAAATGCTTTTTATCTTATCAAAAACCCTCTTATTTATCTTATTTTTATTTCTTTAATTATGATTTTAAATTCTTAAAAGAGATGTTGAAAATATGATAAAATCTTATAGAGATAAGAATATAAAAAAAAATTTGAGTGAAATTACGAAAAAAAAGTTTTATATGATTTTTAAAATATACCTTTTGATATATAAATTCTTGTCAATAATTGAATATAATAAGCATATACTGAGTGTATGATTATGAAACATCTTCCAAACAACTCTTTTTTTTTTCTTTTTTATAAAATCATTAGTTTATAATTAAATTACATTTTTACCCATCAAACCGTCACTTTTAAAAGCCAAAACTGACTATACGAGACGTGTTGTGTAATATGTCATACTTTTAGACCTGATTGTCAATTTCGAATACTTCAAAAGAGGTAAGTTATTTAAACTCCCTGTCTAAATTTTAAACAATGAGTTAGCGTGGATTTGGGTAAAGCTTCTATGGGTTGAGTTTTAGCCCACCCCAATTACCCATATGTCATCCCTAGAACTCTTTAAAACAGATACTTACGTGGCCCGCCCATAAGCAAAATCACATCATTAATAGCAAGAGCTGGGGAATGCTTGCGACAATGCCATTAAGATATGCTTGGGGTGATGGGCTAACAAGAAAATCATTTTTTGCAATGATTAAGGAAATCAGTAATACAACGTTTCCCCCAATCATGAAATTGTGCGAGGTGCACTCATAGCCAAACAGTTCAAATAGTCAAATACAAAGCATTCCCCCTGCTCAATACATGTCATATACCCAACCACTTGCATCAGACATTAGATATAATACAATGAAATCCACAAGGATAACAAACACTAGTTCTCAAGTCATACTTAGTCAAATAAAAGTCATATTTTGCTTTACATACCATGACATTCAAGCCCACCTCCCCATAGGAGCAAAAAATTCCATCAACCTTAAGCCTCATCCATCTGCTCCTGCACCAATAAGCATCAAGCAATACTTGCATATAAGTAAAATGCAGCAAAAAGAGCATAACTGGCATCACAACACAAATTTCTACTATTATCTAATAACACTAACTTGTATCGTATTATTACAAACCAATATAATAAAATTAAATGCTTGCGAACATTATAGTATAGTGGATTTTCTATCATACATTAGCGTTGTTTTGATTTTCATTCGGTTTGGAGCAAACACCAAATGTTTCCTATTGCAACATAAGGTCATCTTAATTCATGCTCTATTGACACACTGTTTTACTATTTTTTTTCTCTAACAAATCCAAAAATTCAATTTCACCTTTAAAAGGCTAAGAAAAATGAAGTGCTTTCATTGTTCCATTATGTGTGCGTGGGTCTTTTATAGGAACAAAATATTTTGCCCTAAAACAAGAAACGAATTGTCAAATTCATATATCTTAAGCCCAAGATGTTTAAAGTTGAGTTGTTAATTTCAAATATTACCTTTTGACTTTAGATCTTAACTGAATTGAAATCTAAAGTCTTAAGAAATTCATTTCAATTTAAGTCAGACTTTAAGTCGAAAGATCTCAACCCCTATATCTATTGAAGATTCTATCATTCAGGTGGTACAGGGTCTTTGTAGAGACTATAGGAAAAGGATAAAGATGAATTATCCTGATCCAATAGTCTCAACTTACTGTATATGATATTATCCTAATCTCATAAAACAACCCCTATATACAAACGCAAGATTAATGAATGCCCCCTTAATAAAAGTAGCACAGACCTGCATGTCTGAAGTCCAAAGAGTGAGGTTGTCTCTCAGCAATTGCATGATGAGAGTGCTATCCTTGTAGGACTCTTCACCCAAAGTGTCCAGCTCAGCAATGGCTTCCTCAAAGGCCTAAAGAAAAACAAAGATAATTAGATTGCAAATTCCACTTGGACTGAAGTGATCTAATGTTACATCAACTCCCAAGTAAACAAATAGGTTTATAATACACACCAATAAAAGGATCGAGCAATAGCTCTTCCAAAATTAAGCATGGTAAAATATCATGCTTTTTACCTAGATGATTAAATGATCTTTAATTGCTATCAGGTTATACACACATATATGTAGCATGATAGTAATTAAAGATCGTTTAAACATCTAGGCATCAACAGCTTGCAACCATCATATCTCTGCTTCTTAATCTGCAATACAATATCAACCGTGTTCTGCCTTTAATGTCTACAAATTTAAATAACTAAAGCGTTTGAAAGTTCTGGATTCTATACCAAACCATTATGATGAACTAGATATAAAATGTTCATTTTCCTCCCAGAAAGCAGCCATGTCCATATATAGTTCCAATTGATTCTAACACAATAGAGAGACTTCAATGAAAACTGTGTCAAGGATACACATTCATAACCTAAATTAATGCATAACCAAGCTTTAGTAGCACCCACTACTTAGTACCATATACAAAGTAATATGTTCAGATATGAATTTGAGTAACAATACATAAATCATTCCTTTATCTATCATTATCGATACTACAGGCCATAATACAAGCCTACTCTCTTTCAAATAGATCCAAAATTAAAAACTCCAACGCCACAAAAGTAATAACAAGAATAATAATAATAAAAAGCTTCTTATCTACTAAAAATGGCAATGCTGCAAACCTGTTTTGCAAGGCTACAAGCTTTCTCCGATGAATTCAGAATTTCATAGTAAAACACAGAGAAATTGAGTGCCAGCCCCAACCTTATCGGATGTGTGGGTGATAGCTCAGCCAGTGCGATTTCCTTCAAACTCAAGTAAATAAACCAAAATTACACATCCACGACCACACAAACTTAAAAAATAAAATAAAATACAATGAAAAACTCTCCGGTTTGGCTTATTTAGAGACAAATCCATTTGGCATGACCCCTGCGCGGATAAAATACACTAAACTAAAGATAAGTTTGTTATAATTTCTAAACTAGTGAGATCTACTGTAATAAACTAATCTGAAAATAAAAATAAAACACTAACAAATAAAATTGAACACCTGAGCTGCCTTATAAGCTAACATTGTTTCCTCAGCTGCGGCTTTCTTCTCGTCATTAACCTTAAACTCAGCCAAGTACCGATTATAGTCTCCCTTCATCTTCAAAAAAAACACTTTCGATTCACTCAAAGTAGCCGACGGCACCAGGTGCGAGTCCAGCAACTTCAGTATGGTCCCACACACACCGGATAACTCATTCTCCAACTTCGACTTATACTCTTTAACCATCGCCACGTGGTCATCGTTCTTGCGGCTCTCCTCTTTCAGCTCAATCGATGAGATGATCCGCCACGCGGCACGACGAGAACCGATCACGTTCTTGTAAGCCACGGAGAGGAGGTTGCGCTCCTCAACGGAGAGTTCGGTTACTGGAGCAGAGGAAGTCACGAGACTTTCCATGAAGTTGACCATCTCGTCATAGCGCTCGGCTTGCTCGGCGAGTTTTGCCATGTAAACATATTGGTCTCTGGTTAGGGTTTCCATTCAAATTTGGAAGTTAACAGTGAAGAGAGCTCGAAGAGAAAAGGAGGATCGATTTTTTTTTTTTTTTTAATTATTTGAATTTGAAATGATTGAGATTGGCTTATATTACGAGGAATTTGGTTGGCTCCAAGTGAGTGTGAGAGTGAAGGCTTTTCTCACGCGCCAAGTGTGACAGATATTGACTACTCGCGACCTTTTTTTGGTAAAGGTGAATAAATATAAATTTTGGTAATGTTATGCGTACACAATTTCTTTATACCATTTTATAAACACTATGATTTGGTATATACTATAATCATATAAATTTTATTATAATATTAAAAATTTTAAATAATTAAAAATTTATATGGTTGTGACATATATCACATCATGATGTAATAAAAATTGTATAAAAGAGTGATATAAGTGTAACATTACTCATTTGGAAATGTGTTTAGGTCATATATGTTTTATTATAAAGGATATTATATTAATAAAAAAAATATCACCTTAAAGATTACTAAAAATAGTTAAAAAATGTGTTTTGTTGGTTCAAACAAATCAGTGAATAATATGTTTGGTTGAGATGATAAATGGATGAGTATGTTACATAGATTACTAAATTGCCCGCTTTTTTAAATATTAATATAATAGTACATTTTATTATTATTTTTTGAATAATTTCTTTGAACCCCTTACTTTTCAGATTTAACAAAAACACCCTAGCAACTAAAAACGTTTTAAACTTAACAAAAACACTACTACCCACCTCAAGCCACTGCTCGCAGCCAGCCACCACCGCCCGCAGCCACTAGTAGTGCCACAAATCTAGCCTGTTTCACGGTGAGATTTGGTCGTGAAATGACCAGATCTCGTCGTTTCCAACCATGGATCTGTGATCTATGGTCGGAAAAGGCTTATGAGTAACCAGCACTAGATAATAAGTTGATGAGTGCATAAGAGATATATTGCTCTATGAGTGACCATAAAAATAGATGAGAATGGTTAGCCCAAATATATGCCAAAAGGATAGTCAGGATATCCGACATACCCAAAGAAATTGTACGTTGAGCCCCAGAAAGACAGAAGACTTAGTGGATTTAAAAAAAAAAAAAAAGTGGAATTCCAAGTGGGTAACAGAGTTTTTGTTAAGAATTGCCCCCATAAATATGTCTTATGATTCAGCATAGATAAGAAAATCATTCTAAGAAATTTAAGCCTAATTGAGATATCGCAAAGAATGGACAAGGGAAACTTTAGATTTATTGTAGTACAGATATGATACTTGATTTATCCCATGTCGTGTAGCTTGGCAAGTTAGTGATTGATCCTTCGTATGTATCAAGGACAATGAAGTAGAAATTAGAAGAGAATCTAGTGTATACAGAACAACCAGTTCAGATGCTGGACAAAAAGATAATAAAAGTTTGAGATCAGAATATTCCACTAATGAGAGTCCTCTGAAGGAATCACAAAGTAGAGAAGGCTACGTGATGGATAAAGCAAGAGATGAAAAATATGTTCCCAAGATAAATGCTAGAATTTCGGGGACGAAATTCTTATGGGGGGGGGGGGGGGGGGGGGGGGGAGGGAATGTAATACCCATATTCAGAAATATGGTAGGGATTATTTTATAGTCATAATGAATATATTTAACTAGTTTTATAGAGAAATTCAATAAAAGTTTAAATAAGGGCAAAATGGTCATTTCATACAGAATCACGTGTTCAATTGAAAAGTGAGCATGACAAATATAATGTATTAAGTGTGCTAGCCATGAGAATAGAGTGGTAGAAAGATTATGGAAAATACACGTGGTGTGATGCCGAGATAGATACGTGTTTGTAAAGTAATAGAAAGAAATTAAAGAATAAGAGTAAAATGGCACATTCAGAAATATGGTAGGGATTATTTCATAGTCATAATGAATATATTTAACTAGTTTTATAGAGAAATTCCATAAAAGTTTAAATAGAGGCAAAATGGTCATTTCATACAGAATCACGTGTTCAAATGAAAAGTGAGCATGATAAACATAATGTATTAAGTGTGTTAACCATGAGAATAGAGTGGTAGAAAGATTATGGAAAATACACGTGGTGTGATGCCGAGATAAATACGTGTTTGTAAAGTAATAGAAATAAATTAAAGAATAAGGGTAAAATGGTCTTTTCACTCACAACTAGATGAAAGAGTAGAGATTGAAAATGACCAAGGACATGTGTTAAATCCATTGAAAGTGAGGGCATATCGGTAAATATACCAATGACATAATTGGAATTATCATAAAAGTGCAAGGTATATATATAGTTATAAGGTTTCAACTGACAAACTCTAGTCATTCTCATCCCTTGAGCACGCCACCTTCTTCTCACATTTCTCTTCCATTTCTTCAAAGTTTTCCAAGGGAATTACATGAGAATTCATGCCAAAGTGAATATATGTTCATTTTGTGGCTTTCTAAGCACGAATCAATGAAGAAAGTGAGCAAAGGAAGCAAAGAAAATGATTCTTGCAAGGTAAGTAAACCCAATCTAAGCTTTAATTTGAGTAGTATATGTGTTAATTGATTCTTGAGTGTTTGTGTATGATAAGAAGTATTGGTTGTTTAGATGTTTGGTGTTTGATGGAAAATAATGTGTACAAATTCAGCCAAGATGAGTAGTTATGTAGATGTGATGTTTTGGTGGAACTTTGGATGACTTGATATTGGAATTTGGAAGTGTTGAATCCTGCCAAATTTGAAGTTAGTTTGGTGAGTTTTTGCTCCAATTTTAGTGGATTTGGAGAGATATGGAAGTGTGGTCAACCAAGTATTTGCATGTGCATGTGAATTGTTTGATGAAAATTCAAAGAGAAATGCATGCATGAGTTTGTTAAATCTTGTTGAAGAAATTGTTTGAGAAACGAAAGAATTGGATTTGAAAGGTTATGTTAGGCTTAACCAAATGTAAGTTTTAGTATTCAAGAGTGCATTTTGTTATGCCAAAATTTAGAATAACACTTGGTTATGTTAGTTCAATGAAATGAATGGTTTTTAGTGCATGATTCGATTTGAAAGGTTATGTTAGGCTTAACCAAATGTAAGTTTTAGTATTCAAAAGTGCATTTTATTATGCCAAAATTTAGAATAACACTTGGTTATGTTAGTTCAATGAAATGAATGGTTTTTAGTGCATGATTCAAGTTGCTTGAACTTTTAGCATTAGTTGTATTTAGTCATTGAATTATGAGTTTTGAAATTAGAAAAATGATGGCAAGAATTGCATATTAAATTATTGCAATAATGTAGTATTGATGATAGTAAAAGATAGGTGATTACATTATAATATTATAATATGCCACCATAAATTGTCAAGCTTGTATGCTTGAAATTAGAAAGATCGTTTAAAGAATGGCTTGGCCAAATGAGTATATTGTTGTTTTGTGTTTTGAGATTAGCTATAAACAATATGTAATAAGTGATTTTATTGTATAAAGAATAGAAAAACTTTCCCAAATATAAATATCAAAGAAACATCAAAGAAATAGAAGTTTAATTTATGTATTAAATACATGATCATTTTAGAAATTGATTAGTATGAGTATAGTTTTCATGTCTTATTATATTTACAAGCTATAGAATTGTGCTAGAAGATCTTGAGAATATGTTGTATTGCTCAAAAGTTTAGCTAAAAATGTTATAAAGAAATTAGAATTTAGCCAAACTATATATACTGTGCTATATGTTAGATTGTATTTACAATGATTAATATGACAATATAGATTAATGTATAGAATGTAGACCTGGCAAACAGGCGGATGTACCCGCGGGTCAACGGGTATCCGTACCCAACGGGCGGGTACGGGTAACACATATTTTGACCCGTGAAAATCTGACCCGTACCCGACCCGCCTGTGACTTTTGCGGATGGACCGGGTACTACCCGCGGACCCGCAAATTTGAAATTTAAAAAAAAAAAAAACTTATCAGTTATCACTCGTCAGTCCTCTCACAGTCTCACTCTCAAGTCTCAACTCAAACCCTAATCTAAACCAAAACAGCAAAACTTATCAGTGAAAAAAACAAAAAACACAGCAGCCATTCTCTTCTCTCACAGGCCACAACAGCTCCACTACTCCAGTCCTCTCACAGCAGCTCCACTCCCTCACTGTCTCACAACAGCTCCACTCTCCCTCATTCTTTGACTTCTCTAATGGCAACAGCAGGCGCCAATAGCAACAGGTCACGGCAGTGGCAGCAAGTCATGGCAGCAGCAGCAGCAGGTCACGGCAACAGCAGATCTCTTCTCACAGCAGCACCAGCATGGCAACAGCAGATCTCCTCTCACGGCATCACCAGAACGGCAGCAGTCAGGTCAGTGTGGTCTCTTAATTCAAACCAATCTTTAGATTAAATTGGAGTCACGATCAATTGTGGCTTGTGGGCATGTATGTGGTCATAGCATTAGATCTCACCTGGATTTGCAATTAATAATGAAGCTTCCATGAAATGACATGCACTGAAAGATCTTGTAGAGACGAATTGAAAGTTTGAAACTGAAAGAAGAAAAGACAAATCTTGCATGACAAAAAACTGCTCTGTAGGCTGTAGCTTTTTACTGATTTTTTTTTCTGTTTTGAAGAAGACGACTAGACGACTAAGAGTCTAAGACAAGTACCAAGACCAACTATTTAAACAGACACTAAAACACTGCGTTTGACTTACTTAGATACAATTACAAGCACACCCTTCTTTGTTTACAACCTTGCAGATTACTCCTACATCCTATCTAATATGCACCAATAATTCAACATATATTTAATGATTTGGTTGAAAAGAAAAGCAGGTGACCGAATAGATCTTGCTTGCAAAACATTGAGAAGCAGTCACATTTAAAAACAAAAAGAAATAATCTTTCTTTATTTGATAGGAGATACAAAAAGAAAATGTTGCTTTAGGCAATTTATGGGTGGGGACCGTGGGGTACCAAATTTTGACTTTGATCTATAAATTCTAAAACTATTGGTGAAAGAATTGAATGAAGAAAAGAAGCATTGATTTTTATGCTAACAAAAATTGTGTATTATTCGGTGCATTCA